GCTGCCTGACCAGCTCCCTGTAGTGATCCTTGTCCCGCAGGAGCATCCGGACCTCCTCCTGCTGCTGTGCCTGCGATGCCAAAGCCTGTAACAATCAGAGGGCCACAGCTCAGAGGTCATGACCCACACATAGCTGTAGAAGTCGGACATTTGGAGGTTAACGTTAGTTAACAGTTTCAGAAAAAGTTCACCAACTTGTCCACGGAAACCAACAACATTAACGCAAATAAGGAAGATCTCAGAGATTATCCCTGGTGTAGTCTCGCACCTGAGCTGAACCCATCTGTCACGCGGACTGCACACCTCGCCTCTATCTAGAGGCTCTACCTGACATGATCAACACTGATGCGTGCCTCAGAGGCCGAGAAATCAGAACAAAATTAAACAAGATGGTGAGATCTGACCACCACCTCCTCCTGTTCCTCCTGCTCCTCACCTTGTCCCTCTCTTTGATCACCTCCTCCAGCTGTCCGAGGATTTGTTTGTTTCTTTGAAGGTACATCCTGACATCACTCTTCAGTTGAGCGCAGGACAGTTCCAGCTCCTCCTTCTCCTCCTGAATCTACACCAGGAGCAAAAAAACAAAAACAAAACAAACATAATCTCATAAATGTAGGTAAATTTTAGGTATGTGAATCATCAGCAAACAATTAAACTTCCATGACGTTTTAGACAATAACAATAATCACTCGTTTTGAGTGCAAGTATGTTTAAAATGCACCGTAACATAGCTTTCGTTCATCTCGCTCCTAGCCTCTTCAGAGTTTCTGGGGAGCTTGAAACAGTGCCGCAGCAACAGCCAATAGCTGCGCTGCTACATGAGATATGCTCATACAACAGAAATTTATCCAACTAGCGTCATCAAATCTGATGGCTTAAGGGCGATTAATTTGTCGCCCCAGTCAAGTTTCTCTGTGACGGAGTGCATATCTGAAGTACTAACGCACTTGATGAACTCCACCACTAGGGGAGGCAGAATTGTGAATTTTGAAGAGCTGCTGTTTGTGGTCCGTGGCTGCCTATTATGCTAAAAACTTCTGCAGCTGGTGTGGTTCTCAAAATAATCGAGAACCGCTGAGCTAAACTAAAATTTGATGTCACATTGTAAACTGTTGACACCCTGTTTACAGGAAATTATTGGTTCTAATTGTGTTTGCTTGTGCCCACGAGGAAGCAGACATTTAAAACAAAGAACGCACACACGTACACACACACACAAACACACCTTGGTTCTCTGCTCCTCCTCTCAATTCATCTCTTCTCTCAGTCTGAACACTGTCGTGATGAGGTTCGTCGGTGAGAGAGCAGCAGGAACTCCTCCTCCTGTTTTGGATCCTGTTTTCTCTCCTCCGGTTTTTCCTCCCACTTTTCCCTCACTCGGTCCAGGTTGAAGAAGTTTTCTGCGGGCAGAGTTCTGCTCTGGAAAACACAAAGTAAAATAAGTAGAATAAAACGGTTAGCACTTATCAACACCAGCAGTCATCACAGACGTAGAAACACTAGGTGAGACAGTGTTGACCTGAGCCTGACCTCGGGTTTTTCTCTCTCTAACGGTGAGTTTCCATTTCTGTCTCTCTGTATGTCGCTAATATAATTTTTGATTTTGCAAAAAAAAAAAAAAATCCAGTGAAAAGATGAAAACAGGACAGTACCCTGCTCCACCAGAGGGGGCAGACATGAGCATACTATTTATATGTTTATTTAGTATGAATTATCGCCACTGCTAATGCTAGATGCTGTTAGGTTTATTCTAACATAAGTGACGACAAAGTAACAACACAAAGGCGTCCGGATCTTTTTCTTACAAGAGGAGAATGCAGCTTGCTCTTCTGGCAGCTTCCTCATCAACTCCGAGTTGCTGCACCCTTCCCCTGCTCTTTTATTTAGTTTACAAAAGTATCAGACAACATAACATTTGATTTAGTGTGAGTATATGGGGTAGGAAGCTGGATATGTAAATGGGTATGAATGGGGGTGTGACAAGGAAAAGATGGGAAGTAAGCAATTTGTTAAAGCGGCAGCAATACACTGGAGTAAATATGGGAAGCAAGTGGTTTGTTAAAGCGACAGTACAGCATGAACCAATGATAATACATGCAATTCTTCCAACATTTCCCTCCTGTTTATCATTGATGAATGCCAAAGTCTCTTATCCTGCATTATGGCTCCTAATACAAGGTTTTTCATAACACATTCATTTTCATGTGGCGCTTTGGCCCAGAGGCAATGTCTCTGTCATTGGTGTGGAACCCCAGGGTTCACCTCCTGGGCAAGTTTCGAATCCCGGTTAGGGCGGTTGGTACCTTCCAGTGGACTCACCACCCGCAGGAAGGTTTGGTACGGTGCAATGTGATTTGGGTGGCGACTGCTGCCCCCGCGACCCGGTAACGGATAAGCGGATGAAAATGGATGGATGGATGGCATTCATTTTCATAGCACCTTCATCAATTTAAGATTCTCGTTATGGTATTCTTCATCATGGTATGGTATTCACATCTCTAAA